CTGTCACAAATCGATGTCAGTTGTGGAACTGTTTAAAACTAAGGACCGATGGACAACTGTCTCGTTAGGAACTCTCCAGTCATCTTCTTCCATGACTACATAAGAGATTCAACCTAAGATCATCTAGTCACATGTCAAGATGATTGACTATACATCTACTGCAGTTGAACCCAGTGACCCGCAGAGTTCAGAACTAGGAGAAGACACCTGTTTAGTGTTCCTCAGTTTCTAATGATGTTCTAACTGATTTTTCGTGATGAAATTCACACTGAGTTTGAAATTAAATGAATATAACTCTTGTTGTTGTGGTCAAACTGGTGGGAACAAAATAAATACTACTATATTAAATAAGTTTATGCTAAATAACACAGAATAATTGACAAATTACTAATAAATGGATACTGTTTCGAGTCCAATTTATTGCTCAATATCTTATTAATGTATTTGGGTGCCTTTGTATTTTGTTACACATAGTTCTTTTCTACATTATGGATAAAATTTTATTTTGATAAAATCACAGTGTTATACAGTAATACTTACTGACCAAGTTTCGAGCACAAATTATTCCCACTCATAATCATATCAACTTTCTTGCTTCATTTATATACACGTGTAAAAATTGATGATTAGACATTTGAATAAAAAGAAATAAATATAAGATAAAGTACATTCAGAAATAATATTAGTGTTATCAATAAAATACAATAAGATGGGAAATAAGATGTGTTTTTTTACAGTAAAAATAATAAGTAACTTCTTAGAATGTTATAATGTGAATTGAATACATTTTAACATTATTTATTATTATCCTCTGATTTGACTGGTGGTTATAATATCTTCCATATCTCTGGTATGTGTGTTGAGTCACCTTTTTTCCAGTGTTAGGTGTAGACTCGGTGAACAAGGACTTAGTAATCAATCTCTCTGTCTCTCTCTCCACCTACCTAGATTACTTCTTAGAATTTTGACTCTGTCTCACTCACCCTATTGTGTGGTTGTGTGTTAATGCATGCAGTGCTATAGCTGAGTTTTTTTCTAAATTACTAATATTTGTGAGATCAATCATTCTAACCTTAGCTAAATTCTTGTGTTCTAATAATCTGACTACCCTCGATCTACTAGTTCGACCTATGTAGTTGACTTAACCCACAGTCACTGCAAGGTATTTTATAAATTATATTATTTTGTTTAACTATAATTTTTTTTATTACGGCTTGATTCCACACCGTATTTTCAGTACAAGTATAGAATTTTCAGCATGTGATATCGGTAGCCCAAATTTTGCTGGCCAACCATAGATATCAGGTGTGTGTCGGCAAGGGATCGAACCCCGGACCATGTGCAAGGTCAGCGAGAGTCCTAACCACTGTGCCACCGACGCATTGACTAAATCTACTGACCTCATAAAAAGACCAAGAATTTCTATGCATTTACCTGTACATCGTCACACAATGAGGTGGGATAGGATAAAAGTATGCGTGATAAAACGCTGGTGCATGTATAGCATTTTTTGAAACCATTAGATAGGGGGTTAGACGGAGGGAGAGAGAGAGAGAAGGAGGTTAATTTTCGAATTGAGTCGCTGCGTTAGTAGTGACGCATCAAACCTGTCTCGAATATATAGAAGAAGAATAATATATGAAGCAAGTTAGGAAGTCATGTGAATATATTGATATGATTAGGAGCAGTGAATTTCTCTCTAAATGTCATCCAGTTATCAATACTTCATCACTCATTGTGTTATATCAGATAAACGTCCCTAGAATGAAATTATACTCTACCACAGTACTCAAATTCTGCTCTTAAATTAAAGTGAGCGACTGATTATTTTTGTTCATCTGGAATAAAGAGACCAGAATTGAAGTATTCACAATGTTTAATTATATTTTTATTTAATCGTTCTAGATGGCATTCACTAGCACGAAAAATTAAACCTCATCCGGCTCCCCTGGGACTGTTGACCTGATAAAGTCAACAAGTGATGTCTGCAGTTGACAACTCATCAGAAAAACATAATCCTCAATTCACATAGATCAAAATAACCTCTGAATTATTATCTCAATACATCTTTCTTAACGCTACACTTCTGTGCATGCCAGAGTACTTTTCTGTATATTTTATGCTCACGTATCTCTCTACAATTTTTTCAGGTAGACTTTGTGTCGAACTTTCTTGAACCAGATCCAACTAGTGCAGATGGTAGGTAGCACTGTGAAACCGTGTATATAGTACACCGTCTACATAGGTTCTTCTTTCTCAACCAGTCTGTTCGCCATAAGAGGCAGAACATTGTGAAAGCCAATTTCCCCTGTTCGATTTTTTCTCACTGAACTTGTTGAGCATCTACATCAATTTATTTGTAATCCTCACAAAGAATAAGTGTATCATCAATGTACGGAGTGTAAACTGTGAATTTTTCCATCAGGTGGCGTTTATGTTTACCTAGAGAAATATCTGCTCAAATGTCTTTGCAGGGTAAAACACAGCACTTTTCAAAGCCTGAACAAAGGTATGAGTATTTGAATCATCCTTTGGGGATAAGAAAAAAAATTCTACAAATTAATCGTCTTGCGTGCACATCCTTTGAATGCCACAAATGCCTCTAGTTTCTTTAATTTTATGCATTTAAGAGACTGGTGCAACATTTGAAAGTGTAGAAATACTGATGAAAATTAAGCAAATGGTGACATATTGCATACTTTTCATAGATTGCAAGCAACGACTGCATAAGGACAGTTAAAGATGAATTAGGCAGAATAATAAGGTGACATATGTGAAAATTATATTTGTTTAAATCTGAGAGAAATTGAGATAAATGATTCTAACATTTTGTTTCGGCAGACTGATTTGAACTTCTTCAGGGAAATAACCAGAATTAAGATAGCAAAGGTGTGTTTGCAATGGACATATTTCCTGTTTTCCAAACCTATCTAAGTCATGAAGACCTAATAAAAACGTAATAAACAAAGTTTGATTGTTTGGAGGATTTCATCCTTGGCTGACATCAGTTAGATAACCATTGGACTGATAAAGAGTCCCAAACTAGGACGAAACAGCTGTCCAGTACTCCCAGAATTTCCAGTGGTTCTCTAACTGATGTCAGCTTGTGATGAAATACTCCAACCAATCAAACAAATCCCTACAAAACCAATACTTAAACAAAGTTTCACAAACTGTGATTAAGACTTAAGTGGACAAAAATCTTAATGATAAGGCGTGCCTTTTATATATGTTTTTGATATCTGAATTTTGGTTATTTCTCTACAGAAGTTAGAACCAGTTTTTTTCGGAAAGAAACGTTGTAATTATTTTTTTGCAGTTTCTTTGAAACTTATACAAATATAATTCTTATATATGTATACTTTTTACTCAACACCCAATCATTGTGAAAGTATTGTAGCAAATTTTGGTCAGAGTTCCTTCAAAGATGGTTGAAATAATAGTAACTGCTAAATAGGAAGTGAGGGTTATCCGTTTTTTGCATTCATGTAATGATGGTCAGTGCAAGAAAAGTAGTTGTACAAATTTCTTCAGAATAGACAAGTTCAACTTCTTCTGTAAACAGAAGACAAATTCGTTGAAAAAAGATAGATAATTGTAAATGCCTTGTCAACATCCACTCTCTGATCAGTATCTACAAGATGTCCTGAAACATAGTCACTAATAGAAATTTCTTGTCCTCTGTCTAATAAATAATACAGCATGATATTGGGAAATTTAACGATAAATGTACTTAATTGTACTTCCGGTGTGAGTAGCTTCACAAAACCAGTAAAAATGGTTCATGTCTTCTAAATGTCTAAATTTGGAGTTTTGCTGGACTTCGGAATGTTTATAAGTAGTATGGTGACTAAAAAGAGTCAGTAGTTTTATGGTGGGATGTTCGTGAGCCATGCTGGATATCACAGATCGATTCTCAACAGACATGCTTCTAATAAAAATCTCTCCTAGTCGGTAGCGATTCCGGAAAATAGGGAACGTCAGGCTTATGTCTAGCCGCTCCACCCGACTAAAATAACATTATTGTTATTATTTTTTATTATAGCTTGATTCCACACAGTATTTTGGTACAAGTATGAGATCTTCAGCATGTGATATCGGTAGCCCAAATATAGCAGGCCAACCATTGATATCAAGTGTGCGTCGGCAGGGGATCGAAACTCGGACCATGTGCATGGTCGGCGAGCGTCCTAACCGCTGTGCCGCTGGCAGTAAAACTTTGCTACTGAATAAAAGAGATTTTTAGATAGCATTTTAAGATTCGTTTCAACAAGTGGACGGCAAATTAGCTGTTCAGGGTTGATTGGATTCAACCAAAACATACAATATGGTAGCTACCTAAAATAATCAGTCGGTAACTGTATTGTCGTCAAGAGTTCTTGAAGCTGCAAACTCACAAAATGATGTAAGCACTGCATTGGTAAGTTTCTGCTTAACTCATAAATAATGGAAAGTAGATCAAACTGGCATAAACAGAAGATGAATAAAAACTATCACGTGAATAACTTTTGTTAAGTCTGACATTTACATTAACTAGGGGGATGACAGAGGCACTACAAGCATACTTGTAAAATTAATTCACTTGGCATATTTTGCATCAGTTATTAAAAAAAGAGAGACTTAAGACATGAAGCTAAATGTCATCAAATTTTTTGTTTTAATATTTTGACTAACGCACAAGTCACAAGATTAGAATATTTTCTTTTCTAGACACAAATTCATTTATTTTGAATCCTAATCACTGAAAATCTAGGCAAAATAAATCTTTGAACAGGTTTCAGTTTTACTGAGCTTCTTTACTGCTGAACACATACAAACACACACACACACACAATTAGTCATTACTAATTGTAAACTGTTGTCATTTTTAACACAGAACTATTGTAATAATAAGAACATTAGTAAATTTGTCATGGTCTAATAAATTGATCGACCAACTTATTTTCTAATTGGTCGATGCGTTGTCCAATCAAATTGCTGTTTGCTCTATCTGTTTAAATTGGGATTATTTTATCGTATAAGAATTGGTAAATGATTTAGTCAATCAAATTTATTTTAATTACTTTTAAGTACTCATATCTTGTATATAAACATTTACTCCACACATCTGGTAATTTACTCTCAGGGAGTGTATGTGCATTCACCTTGAAGCACAACCTTTCGTAACCAGCTCATTTGTCCAATCTTCAACAAACTTTCAAAACTATTTAATGAAATATTAATCAACTTTACATTGAAGTCAACATTCTTTTGAATAAAACTCAATTATCTGCACAGTAGAAAAAAAATTGCTTCAAGAAAATTTATCCCCATTGGAGTCAGTAAACACGAGTATCCTCCCACTGGTTTTCTACTGTATACTGTAGGATCATATTCTCGTCTTCCTGATTGTCAGTCGACGACAGCCACACAAAGATCAACGACACATATTGGAAGACTGCATTTAACTCTGTTGGTAAGTAATGCAAGTGTTTTTGATTTTAAACCTTTTTCTTGAATATTATTTTTTATGCAGTTTTTTTTCTCACTCCAAGTGAAACATATGGTGTCAAACTTTAGACTTTAAAATTTCACTATCGACGGTCGTCTTGTTTTTACTGAGGATGGATTTGCCTCACTGCCTGTCAAGCTCCCGACTTTCTGAGCTTATTACAGCTGAACCATTGAGGCTTATTTCTTATAATAACTGAGTATTCATTATTTTCGTCTTTAATTCAGCCTGTTTGGTATAAAGCTATCATTACCATATTTTCACTTGAAAGTTTTATAATGGGGTTATATCTAATTCCAAATGAGGTAGAATGATAAAAACTTACTCATCTGTTGATATTATCTACAGATTAAGTCAACCTACCTGGATGTATGTGTGTGTGTGTCCTTGTGACCTCCTCTAATTTTGTTTCATCGATGACTAGTGCCCACGGTATATAATGTAAATTTCATAAGTATGTGGCAGTTTTAGTATCTTTCCTCTAGTGTTTTTGTTTTTATCTTAATCTGAAAGAATAACTCGACAAGAACAGCTTTTGCAGCATGAAAGGGAATTCATTTCATCTTAGCTGCATACCAGCTGCATAGTAAAACACATAAGTGCTAGTCACGTCAGTGTGTGATATAATTCAGACACACTTAAAATCAATAACCAGGATATCTATTTTATGGGAGTACAGCAACGTGCTGGAAATTTAGACGAAGTATAAAATATATAGGAAGTTAGAAAAATCAATTACGAATCTTAGACACATGTGTGAGACTGCTAGCTTCACGCTCAACCTTCCCTTGTTTCCAGGCTTACAGTTGGCTAGTAAACTAGACGAGGCGTAGGAATGCATCACTGAGGAATCGAACTGGGACCATGTCCGTGACCAGAAAATATTGTACCACTGAACCATCAAAACATAGCTGTAGGTAGTTCTTGGAACTCTGTAGGATATTACGCAGTAATCAGTCTGACATTTGTGACTGACTGACTGAAGCTCACCAGAAATGTACGGGAGAAAGAACAGTAACATTGAAAAATATGAGGACTTATTCAGTTCAAGAGTTTACAAGGAGTAAATAAATCTGCGCTTCTGAGAACAGTTTTGAGACAAATCACCGAAAGTTCTTTACATTCTGACGATCCCGACCAGGCAGCCCAAACCTCCCTAACTGACTCAAACTAACATTTAAAGACTTTCAAAAGAGAGGACGTTCAGCGAAGAGTTACTGCTCTCAGCGATATCATTCTCAAGCTGTACACCAAGCTAACCCAGAAGCTAACTCCAAAGTCGTCTACGTCGGAATCTTGCTCAGAGTACTTCTTCATACCGCAAAAGCAATGGCATTTCACATGTTAAATCCCGAACTCTGCATGCTAAAGAAATTTGTTTAGTCATTAAATCGACATTGAGATCGCTCTGTCCTAAAAATGGGTACGTAATTTTTGCTTTTTGTTTTTTTTTTAATTAAATTAAATTTCTGACCCTTATTACCACTGTTGTTACTTTGACCCTAGTTGAATTTAATTTGAATTGTACTCAGTCTAATAAATTATATTACGTCACTCAATTTACTGACTCACTTTTATTTTGCTTTCTATCCGATTGACGCTTTTTATGTTACGTAATTTGTTATTTGAAGTTAACGGTTCAGTCGGCACGTTTTGGAAATATTTTTTTGTTGCTTTGATAATTTACTATACATATATATTGACTGATTTTCTCTCCTTACACAACACTACGCCTAACCTCGACATTACTCAGTAGATTACTCAAATGAACAAGGAAGGTGAAAACCAAACACCTGTGGTCAAAGACAGCTTGCATGTTCAGGTCTAAGGCATTGAAATGCTGCACAATACATACGCCCTTCATTTGGCAGCCAGATACCGAGTCATTTAATTAGTGGATGGTGAGTAGCAGTGGAATCCAGGATGCGAATTTCGTCGTATTCGGGATTCATCAGCTGGATGTGCCTGCATTCCGCAGTGAGCGATAGTGTTCCCACCGAGGCTCGAACGCAGTGCCTATAGTTTCAAACGCCAAAGCGTTATCTACCAGACCACTCGGGCCACGACAGCCACCTCTTGTGCAACGGGTCATATTAATTATACAGTTCAATTTTACATTTTCTCGTCGACTGGTTGGACCGAAGTGCTCGGTCTCAGGTTGATATATCGGCTTATTGTGCAAATTCTTCGATGACTTCTGGGCATGTGATCAGAATTTAATTGGTGGATGGTGACTAGCAGTGAAATCCAGGATGCACATTTTGTCCTATTCGGGACTCGTCATCTGGGTGCAGCTGCATCCAATCAGTCGACTGGAAAATCTAAAATTCAATTAGATATAAATTCATTTACAAATGTCACATGGGCACTTTTTATCCTTGGTGAAATCTCATCATGGATCAGCTAGTTAAGGATGTTCTGAATTTTCTTTTAAGGGGATTTGCCATCATGCTCAATCACTCAACTCACTATGATTAAACTGGCAATCTGTTCAGACCTGTTCTGCAACATCACCTTACATTTCAAAATGGAGAATTTCATGCCAAACATACCAAGATTTCTGCCCAAGATGTCAAGAAAACTGCATTTTTTCACCCAGTAGACTAATAACATCCTCTTACCCTAAGTCGATGAGACTGTTATTTCTCAGCAGTTAAATCCCTAAGTCACTAAAGTCCATCAGGGTGGCGACAATCAATACATTTATGATGAAATTCAAAAGATGGAGACAATGGGCATCTCTGACGGACATCACTGGTCCCCACAACTTCAAATGGCACATATCTGAGATATATTTTCGTAGCATTCTGTTCATGGCTAGATGGTTACCATATTCAACGTAGTTCAACTCTGTCTTCAGGTTAAGAAATGTGTCAAGTTATGGATGCCAAAAAGTATGCCCATTTTCTGGAATCCGTCGCCTGGGCCTAAAGTCTGATTGGTATTCACAGATTTGTATCTTCTTAACATCGCTTAGTCTACACATGTTTACCAAAACCAAAACTGTAAACATTATATTAGTCAGGTTTATCCCCCCTTGATCATTAAAAGACGACTTGTTTACTTTCCTATAAAATGGGATAATAAATGATTGCCACTGGTCCAGCGACATCACATCAGATTCATACACCACCTAATATCTTATTTAAACCAGACAACAGTTTGCCACGATCGTTTTTAAACACCTCTGTCATCATTTTATCAAGTCTCTCTGGTTTATGTGGTTCTACACTAAACAAAACTTTCGCGACTTCAGTTCAAGTTGATAGACTAATGTCTACAACCCACTTGTCTTAGTCTTCTACCCTAATACGTAATTAAAGCACTATTGTTCTCGAAGACTGTTTTGACTATCACTTATCTTTTACAACTCGTTTCCCTAATATGCCTGAATCTTTATTTGGTGTGGCCTACCACCGATGTCTTTTCTATTCCTTTGGCTTTTGTTGTCCACCACTAGTCACAGTCGTTGCAGAGACTTTGGGTCACCTTGTGTTCGTGCAGTATTTTGCTCTGAATCATATTAGGAGCCCTACATAATTAGTCTTCTTTAACATTTGTGGTGTTAGAGGTGGTAGCAAACTGAATAATCTTATATACATTGACTCTTTCATGTAATTATTACATACAATTTAGACTGTATAGAATAAAATACACCGTTAAGTGAACTTCATGTGATAATTTGGGCAAAATTGAAGTTTGTGAAACAGATTGATCCATTCACACTTTGTTGGCTACTTAGCCTAGATTCACAATGTTCTAATCCAGGAGTCAATTTACAATCAAGGTGAATGGAGTCAGGTCAGCAATGTATACTCATGACTACATCTACTAATGGGGAGTTGTTTGGATAATAATTGATTACTACTCTTTGGTGTGTTGGAAACACCATAGAATTCTGTCTGACAATCATTTATATATAAAGTCAGTATTCGTTGAATTCCACCTAGTTAGACTGTATAGAATTATTTAATTTAGAAATGAGAATTTCAACTAGTCACTGTGACACTTGAAATCCCATGACATGACATACACAGGGGATGTCTGATAAACAGTCTGGTTTTTATTCTCCAACTTCTTATTGACACTACAGCCAACCAGTGTCCTATTCTTGATAATGAGCATTAATTTCCCCGAACGCATTCACGCATACACACACTCACACTTGTTTTCATCATCACTGTTGAATTGTTTCTTTTATCAAAATCGTTAGTGTGGCAGACATATTTATTTTTTTTTACTTTCTTACTTAAAAAATATTATTCAGATTTTTTTTCAACTTGGGTTGATTCATCGAGCTGATTGTCTTAACAACAGCTCTCATCGTTCATTTCATGTTCACTCTGTGTATATTATTAAATTTTAAAAGAAAAATCTTGTATATAAATCTACTTAAGATGTAACCAGTTGGATGAACACTTTTCATGCAACGTTAGTCTGCTGTTGACAGATGAACACTTAAAATAAATTCGAGACTATTTAAGATGACGTGATTATTTGATGAATGCAAACGGGCAAAGTCTGATAATGATAGTTTTCATATACACAGATGATGAGAAAGCCTTTAGTCTAGACTCTACTTAGTCGGCTTCCTTGACAGAAGTTTCCATGGTTTTATTCCTTACTAGATAAGTTCTTTCATTTCAAATATTACACAGTGATACAGTACGAATAACTGGATAACGTTTCGAGCGTAAATTATTGCTCATAATCATATCAGTTTAGTCACATAGCTTTATAATTTATCTTATACATATTTCCTTCTCTTCAGTTTCTCTTGTTGTTTGCTGCGAATTTCCATATCTCTGGTATAAGCGTTGAGTCACAGTCCCCAAGTCCTACGTTTACATTTCTGTGGTTTTAGTTTAGTTTTCGCACAGTGTCAGACGTGTCACGGCTATGAGCAGAAATTCAGCACAAAATTTCACGTTCAAAGTTGATTTGTCTTTCGAATTAGACCACGG